CACCTCAGTAGAGGGGGAATAGGCAATCATCTGGCTGCTGGGCACATAGGCGAACTCCTAAGAGGGCCATTTCAGCCTGGCTCTTTGTCCACACACCTCAGTAGAGGGGGAATAAGCCATCATCAGGCTATGCGAACTCCTAAGAGGGCCATTTCAGCCTGGCTCTTTGTCCACACACCTCAGTAGAGGGGGAATAAGCCATCATCAGGCTAGGCGAACTCCTAAGAGTGCCATTTCAGCCTGGCTCTTTGTCCACACACCTCAGTAGAGGGGGAATAGGCCATTATCAGGCTAGGCGAACTCCAGAAGAGTGCCATCGCAGCCTGGCTCTTTGTCCACACCCTCAGCAGAGGGGGAATAGGCCATCATCAGGCTAGGCGAACTCCAGAAGAGTGCCATCGCAGCCTGGCTCTTTGTCCACACCCCTCAGCACAGGGGGAATAGGCCATAATGACACAGTGGAAATCCACACAAAAACATAAAAAAATAAAAATAAGATCTTCTTTAAATGTATTTCATTGTTCACTTGAATAAAAAAAACTGTTGAGAATAAAAAAATCTCCTCAGCCTCAAAACTGAGGTGAGGAAAAAACACAGAGAACAGCAGTGAAGATGATCTCTCCGTGGCGGCAAAAAGAGAACTGAGGGAGTAGTGCCCTGGTCATGTGAGCGTTTTGGCGGGAAAGCGCCAGAGGGAGGAGGGGCACTCCTAGTTTATTAGAAAGCTTGCAAATCTTTTCCGTGGCTGGCCTGCGCCTGCGCAGATCCCATGTGGGACTGCACAGAAGCCACGATGATGAAACACCAGTTTGGTGTAGTGGTTCAGTGCATGGACTCTAATCTGGGAGAACTGGACTTGATTCCCCACTCCTCCACTTGCAGCTGCCAGATGACTGTGGGCAAGCCATAGTTCTGTCAGAGCTGTTCTCTCATTGATAGTTCTGGAAAGAGCTCTCTCAGTCCCACCTACCTCACAGGGCGTCTGTTATGGGCAGGGGAAGGGAAAGGAGTTTGTAAGATGCTCTGAGACTCCTTCAGGTAGTAAAGGGCAGAGTATAAATCCAATCTCTTCTATTTTCTTCTTCTTCTTCTTCTTCTTCTGCTAGGCAGAACATTTCAGCTGAAACTGACTCAACTTCTGGTGCCCTCTTCTGTGAAAAGGAGCTTTTCCAAGTATGTATTTTGGATGCGTCACACCTTGGCCTCCTTTCTTACATCCAAAACTACTTCAAGAATGTGTTTTGCTTTTCACAGCTATTTTACTGACCAACTGATTTCACATATAAAACTGTATGGAAGATGTGGGAGAAACCAATCAAATTGCTGTTTCCTCTCTTCACTCCAATAGAGAACAGATTAGCCATGCTTCCAAACTCAGACACAAAAAGTACACCTACCTTTATCTGTTGCAAGGCTCTCTCTGCTTTACTGAAATCATTCATAGAACTCATGCTGGATTGCTCCTTGCTTTCCAATTCATTCAGTTCATTCTTCAGTTTCTTTAAAGCATCCAAATAATCTTGGGCAGGCTGGCATTCCAATTCAGCTTTAAAATAACATGTTCAAACCAACTCAACAACTTGTTTATAAAAGATGAACAATGAGTGATGCTTTTAAAAATACAAAATAATAATACAAGGCTCTCCTCTTAACTGCATATCTGAGATCAGTCTACTTACTCAGGCATTCATCTCACAGACATCAAGGAAGATGTGCAAGCCTCATCAGAATGCTATATGAAGGTGCTTCTCACAACATTCTAAAGAGGCTTGCATAATCTGCCCCAAATTAGAATATTATCTTCCATGAGATGACTGCCTGGGTGAATGTGGAAGTGACTATCTGACAAGTGGCACTTCTTAATATATCAGACTGCTTCAAACATTAATAATGTGTATGAGTACATGAAACTAAGTGAGAACCATAAGGGAGTAGTGGTTAGAATGTCAGATTAAGACCTCAGATCCCTGATTTCAAATCCCCACTGAAGCTCAATGTATTCATCTTCTGGCCAGTCATTTTCACTCAGTTTAATTCCACTGTTTGGGCCTTAGTCACAAACACCTGTAGACCCAGAAGAAATTGCAAAAGGGAAATACATCTAGATGCCACCTATTGCCCTAGTGTTACTATGTAAATATTTTAAAGTTACATAACATTAATGCTCAAAATATCCAAGTCACCATTAACATTAGTCTACATGCCTGTAAAGAGGCCATCATGCCTGCTGAAACGATTTCCAATGGATGAACCATGGATAAGTATTACCTCCCATTGGTGGCAGAAAATGCAGGGTACAAATCAATTACATTAAACAGTGCAAAAAGCATATTGTGGCCCCGGTCACACGGGCCGGATATCACGGGCGGGAGGCATGGCTGTTTGCCCCGGAGCGAACTACCGTGCGGCCACGGGATCACATGTCCCGCCGACGTCCGGTTGTGGTGGTGGGGAGCCCAGGGAGGTGCCAATCAGACGGCGGCGAAAAAAAAACCAGGTCCGGGGTGGAAAGGGGGGGGGGGGGGTTAACCCAAGTATGCGCTTGCGCCGTTGGGTGCTTGTGCACATCCTGCGGAGACTTTTTTTTAAAAAAACCTTCTTTGCGACGGGACATGGGCGGGCGCCGGATGCCACGGGATTTCACCAGAAACGCGATCAGGCGCTCGCCCTTGCCCCGCGGTTTCCGGAAACTAGTACCTCCGAGGTACTAGTTTTTTGCCACACGTCTTCGGCGGGAAGCTTCGGTTGAGCCACAGGAGCGCTACGCTTCCCAGATGTGCCGGTGAGATCGCGCCCGGAAACTCCGCCTATCTTCCGTCTCCCTAGCGTGGCTAATGTTCCGTGTGACAGCAGCCCAAGTGTAGAAAACAAGAAATAACTGCAAAAAGTCAACTTTTTAAAAAAGGTTGTTCAAAATATGAAGGCAGCATTGAATTATTGGAAGGGCTCAAGCTTATCATTTTTCTGTTTATTGCTAAGTTTAAATAACATATTTTATTTATGTGGTTTTGTTAACCTGTGTGGTTCAAGCATCCCATCAGCCAGGATACAAATTAAATCATTACTTCAACAATAGCTTCACTGACTTCACAAGTTTTTCTAAAGACAATGCAAGTATACACAGTTCCTGAGTTTGGGACATTCTAGATGTTTCTATATATTAAACCAAGATGGTATACGTAGAGAGCACCATATTTAGTAAAAGAAATCAGCCACAAAACCAAGCCCATAGTGAAAACAAACTGGTAAACCAACCTTGAAATAATAATAATGAATGAAAATTAGAATTTTATAAATGTTTGTATTTTATACCAATGCATAGAGATAATACATGTATTTTTACCTCTCATTAAGTTAAAAGTGGGGGGATTGTTTTGTTCTAAACCCTTGGGAATTATCAGCATTATAAATTACTTATATACCTATAAAGCAACAATTTAAATAATCCCTTTCTAAAGAAAACACATTTTATGTAGCAACTGGGGGGAAATACCTTTTTTTCCCAGTAAGTGTTAAAAAAATCTGTGCTTTCAATAAAGTGATACGGTTAGGCATCTCAGCAGTCAAAATCTAAGTTCTTAGATTTTTGAAACGGGGGGGACGGGGGGGACGGGAACATGGCAGGACAAGAGATGAAAAAATCCACCACCGCCTCACCACCCCAAGGAGGGAGAAGTTAAAAGGAAGCGCACCTTTTTTCCAGCGCTGTTGCAATTCTTCCAGCTTCTGTTGAGCAGACATGAAGCGATCAGTCAAAGAGTTGAGGCTATCTTCAATAAAATTTGGAACAGCAGGGTAAGATGCCAGGACCTTAGCCCTAGTTTTCAGGTGTTCAGTTTGAGGACGCAGAGTTAGTAAGTGAGTGAGCTCCCTCTGTAGATGCACACATGCAAACAGATACAAAGATTAGCCATTTAATTAACACTGAGTTTAAAAGGTCCAACAATTTTGACCACAAACGCAAATTAGTTATGCCTTATGAATAACCAAAAAAGCATAAGTTTGCTCAAATTACCTGGCATGAATCCTTTAGAGCCGTTAAATGTTGCTTTGGTGATGATGAAGCAGATTTGTCTTTCAGCCACAATTCTTTTTCAGTCACAGCCTTATCAAGTTCACCCAATTCCCTAAAATACATGTTTATTTCATCCTGGCAGTTCACTTTTCTTGTTACTTCTTCCAGATGCCCAGATACTCCCTTCCACTCTAAGAATACCTTCTCTAGGGAATTTGATACATCCTCAGTAGGAAGCCCTTCTGAACAAGCAAAAGAAATAAATCATAAGTCAATACTACATACCAAAACACACAAAATCATTTTGTACAAAACACCAAAACCAAAATTCTATTCCTATTAGATGACAACTATTCACACCAAGCTTGGGCCTCAATAGAAGTAATAAATTCCTCAGCAATTATTTGCAAACACATGGAAATGATAACAAAGTATATTCCATTATCAAACACACTTCTTTTGATAAAATATATCTACACCTTACAAAACAATCACTTGAAACAGGGTTGCATTTACCATGATCTTCCCAACTACCTAGTTGAACATGAACAAATCAAAAGTCATTGATTTATAACTGTGACTGGAATAATTTTAATGAACTGAAAACTGCACTTGTAGTCTAGACAAGAGAAGGAAAACAGACACCAGTGAAAAATGTGAAGCAAAAGGATGTGAATATGGAACAGAAAAATATCATCAACACAAATAAATACAGGATGCTTTTTTGCCTATCTATGCACTTGAATCATTCTGTCTCAAGAAAATATGCCACTGTATTGCTGGAGCTCAGTCCTAAGCATAGATAGCTGTTCATCACTGACATCAGCATAACCACACAGTATCCTGTGCTCTCTCATAAAGAAAAAATCCAACTCTAAGGAGGTGAGAGGATAGCAACAATATTAGAATTCATAGCAACACCACACACAACTATCATGGAGTGGCACGCCAACAACACCCCCATGTCAGAATATATGCAAGCAGTTAAACAAGGTTAAGAATATAAGAAGAGCCCTGCTGGATCAGACCAGTGGTCCATCTGTTCCAGCATTCTGTCTCACACATTGGCCAACCAGTTCCTTTGAAGGGCCAACAACAGGATAGAGAGGCCAAGGCCTTCCCCTGGTGTTGTCTTCTGGCACTGGGATTCAGAGGGGTCTGCCTCTGAACATGGAGGTTCCCTTTAGTCATCATGAGTAGTAGCCACTGATAAACTATCATCCATGAATCTATCTAATGCCCTTTTAAAGCTGTCTATGTCTGTGGCCAATGTTCCCTAATGATACCGTGCCCCCACCCATTCAAATAACACTAACAAGGAAAAGAATGGAGGAAATAGAGGAAGTTACACCAGCATTGGACTGAGTTGCCATCCTATGCAGTTTACAGACTAGCTTTATGATTGTGTCCCAAGCACTCTGGCTCAGAGCCCGACTGAAAATCCAATCTGACCTTCTTGGAGAAAGACTGGTGTCTAAATGAATATCACCAACCTAGATCCCACCCACCCCAAAAAACAGATGAGAATCTGAGCAAATATAAATAGTCCACATAAAATTCAATTGTCCACATAACATTAATTTGTTCTATTAATTGACATCCTGCTGTCTTTGAGGTCTTGCAGCTTTCAATGGATAAGATTTTATTTTCACCAACCTAACTTTGGTGCTTATATCAACTTCCATTACCGTAAATGCTGTTGTTATTTGTACCTCCTCAATACTCCAGATTGTGTCAAAAGAGATTATTGCAAAGAACTGAAGCATATCTTCTACCATGCCATGACAGTAATTACCTTTTCCCATTTGTTTCAGCAAGTTTTGTCCTATCTGGCTCAGTTCATCTAATATTTTCTTTTTTCCAGCCCATTCTGTTTCCAAAATCTGTTAAGAGAAACATTGCAACAGTGAAGACAAACACTAACAATATAAATTTAACTGGTCTGGGCCTATAAGCTACCAGGATGGAAGACCATATGCGAACCATATGCCATCCTTGTTGGCACCTCCTTTACTCTCTTTAAGGCAGCAAGTCAAAGCATTCTTTCTACCCAGACTTTAACTGTTAACTGTTTTATGGTATGTTTCTAGCCTATGGACTGATTTGTGGGAAATCAGTTGTAGTATGCTGCTTTTATTCCTCTTCATCTCTCACTTATCACTTTTGAAATCTTTATTTAAATTAGAGTTTAGCACTCCAAATTACACGTTCAAGGGAGACTGCTGTCTCCTTGGAACTATTCTGGCACACAAAGCAAGTCCTATAATTCTATTAAATATTTCGAAGAGATTTATTTTCCCAGAGTTTTTTTAAGCATCCCCATATTCCCTGTACACGAGTGTGTCTTTTGTGAGGCGAACATATCACATTTATTTCATATGAGAGGTCCTTCATCAAGACTAGTCAATTGTAGTGATGTAGATAATTAAGCTATTTAAAACTAATTTATACTGGCGTAGACACACACGCAAACGCTATTTAAGCTGTAGAATATTTTGATCTGTTTCTCAGCAGAACATACAGAAGGATTAAAAACTGGCTATACATCTCAGTTTTTCTGAGAGATTAGGAGAGGAAACCTACAGGGTTTATTTACAACAATGAGCTCTCTAGTACCTCTCACAATATGCAGTTTCTCTTTCTAAACTGAAGAGAGATTAGAAATTTACTGGGAGGAAATGCTCAGGAAATTTCTTAGGAAGTTCTGCCACAAACACAATAGCACTGCTTAGAGCCAACACAGTGAATTACATGTTAGCCTAAGACTTTAAAAATGTTAAATAATTGAATTAAATTCACAGCAAGCTTCCAGGTCAGACTCTACTTCAAACTGAAAGCAAGCTTAAGATGACAAAATAACTGATTCACTGAAAATGTACCTCTGCTTCCCACCTTACCTTCAGCTTTTCTTTCATTTCTGAAGTCTCTCTTGTCTTCTTGTATTCTTTGATCTCTATGGCCTGAATGGCAGTTTTTGATTTCGAAATCCAGTTCAACAGCTCAGCAATTTCAGAATCAAGCCTAGTATAAGAGGTTGAATGGCACTGTTAGTCATTTCTCCACCATTTCAGCCTCCAGCATCTCCTTAAGAGGCCATTCTGCAGTCAAGCTAGAGATAACACATGAGCACAATACACACAACATACCAATGGATAACATTCTACACATGGTAAGGGTAAAAAAGGCATATAAAAGGGCAGCAACACCAAGCATGCTGCCCCCCCCCCAACACACACACCTAAGACTGAGTACACTAGAATTCTCACCCGCCCACACAGGCATAATTGCCCCTTTTCTTACTATGAACATTGACCAGTCATACAGATGTCACATGTACAGGACTAGAACTGTCATCTCAAAGCAATAATAACAAGATGTCTTGACTGCCTGAAGGATCCTAAGCAAGTATTACCAAGCATGTAAAAGGTATTCACCTGACTTCCTCTCACAAACAGAAACTACCTGCTGTCAAACAGACACTCTGCATTTTCTGCATGCATGTTCTCCCTCTTCTGCTTGGAAACAGATAAACCTAGAGATTTTCTGACATAGTTGGGGCTCCTTTTACTTAGTATGAAAGAAATCTTAATGGACTAGTATCATGGCCCAAATGTTATAAAAATATTAATTAAACTTTGCAGTACTTGACCCTCAGTTAACCCAAACTAAACTGTATTTGCCTTTTGAGAATATGTAATAATATTATAACTATTTATACATTTAAAAAAAATTAAATGCCAATGCAGCAGTCACAGGGATGTTCTGTATTACTCTGATCTAGGCCAACACAGTGGATTGCTATGGCTGCTATCACTGTCAACTTATTCATTCCCTTTCATCAGAATGATGGGCCAGCCAGGATAGCAGAAGCCACACACAGAACAGCAACTTACAAGAGTATGGACAATAACCATTTCCCAATCGTTATTTGCAAGATTCATTTTAATAAATGCTGGTTTTAAAAACCCAGATAACATAATGTGATTGTTTTAAACATATTCTACTACATGAATTGAAGAAAGACAATATTTTGCTATAACACAATTATAAAAATTTATGCTGAAAGAGAAAGGGAGCTGAAAAGGCTTCTCTTGTTAGAGAAAACCCACTAAACCAAAGTAAAATATGCTTACTTTTTCTTAGCCTCTATATCTACACTGATTTGTCTTTTCTTTGGAGGAGGAAGAGGTGGAAACTGTTCCTCCTTAGCCATTTTTTGCTCTTTGACATTAACTGTCTCTGTGATGATTTTCTGCGAGATCTGTCCCATGCCAACATTTCCAACCGCCTGAGAAACCTAAAAGAGTAATCAGCAGTCAGCAAAATTATACAATAATATAAGAAATAAATCACAATTTTGTATCATTACAATTGCCGCTAGTAACATTCTTCAGTTTGGGTATGACCCAGACAAAATTCTACTAATTTCATTGGAAAAGGTGAAATACATCCATTGCTCCCTTCCATTTAATTCAAATGGTCTTATACCATGGCTGGAGCATTCCTATTGTTAAAAAGCACAACGCCCAAAAAGAAAATGCCCAAAACAAAAATCATTTAAAAATCACACTAACCCTTCTAGCTCAGTATTTTCTATCTGACAAACAGCAAGCATTCAAAACAAAGCAGGAAAACTTTCCCAGCCATGTAACTGATATCCTTTAAGAGAAGTTGCTGGAGACTGAACCTGGGGCCTTCCGCTTGTAAAGCATGGATTCCACTCACTGCAGTAGTGGCCTTTCTCTAAATCTTCATAAGCTCTGGAAGTATTATAGTGATTGTGTGATGTGACTGAATTTATACCTGTCTGTTGTTTATATTACAAGTCCATAACCATCCATCTGGGATGGCCTGAGTCTAGCACAAGCTGTCAACAAAGGCTTACAGAATGCTGGGAGCCTGGTTGTGCTAAACAAATGAGACCCTATATTCTGTTTAAGCAAAACTTCACTTTAGCTGGGCATACTTGTTTACTTTTGCAAAAGCCAATGATGTAAAACACTAAAGAACCTAATCCAGTTTTCTAATGCCTAATCCAACAAATATCGGCAGGAAAAGTGAAACTGAAAGTGTGAAACTACTATTTTTGTACAGCTTTTACCAATTTATTCATACTTCATTAAAAAGCAACTAGCTTCCAGACATTTTCTTGAAAAGACATGTGTTTGAAGGTCAACACTTATGCACTATTAATAGACATGTAGAAGCTGGAAAGAGATGGTAATATTTTTGTGGTTACCTGATTAGAACAGTCCTCAAGTTTCTGAACTAAACTGTCCCAATTCTGTGTTAGTTCTTCCAGATCATTCTCAATTTTCATTGATACTTTCTCATTGTTGAGTAGTTGTGCCACATCCTGGGCCACCTCACTCAGCTGATCTAACATCTGACGCTTCATTCCCAAATCTTCTTTCAAACTCTGACAGTAAAACAACGTTAGCCATTTCCTTTTAGGTATTTTGTTCAAACTTTCCAAATTAAACACGACATAAGAAATAAAACTGTGATATAAGTAATTACATGTATGGGGTGGGAGAGATATTACTTGTGAGTGCAAAAGAAATAAACTAGCATTTAATTGCCATTATCCAGCTAATCTGCCCCCCATTAAAAAAAAATTAAAATTACATGTAGCTGCATATTGCCATGTTTCAACCATTTTTGCACGCTTTTCATACTTATCTAGCACACAATCTGTACACCTGATGAAAATGGCTGTTTTGGAAGGCAGACTCTATGGCATCATATCCCGCTGAGATTCCACCCCTCCCCAAACCTCACCCTCCTCAGGCTGCACCCCCAAAATCTCCAAGTACTTCCCAACCCAGAGTTGGCAAACCTACAGATAGTTGAGTGTATTCCAAATTTCTTCAGCCACATTTCTCCCATAAATTTAGAAAATAATTTAAGAAGCTGCTTTAAAATTCGCTGGACCATGAAATTAATATTTAGAATGGAAACCTGATACTAGACCAGCACCACCAGAATATCAAATTGATACTGAGGACAGAACAGGATGTAACATTTAATGTTATGAAGCTAGTTTCAAATGTAAAGCAAGTGATACTCACTGCCAGCTTTCGAACATTCACCCCAAGCTCATTTTGATCTTCGAAGCTGCTTCTTTGTACTTTGTTTAAAGCCTCTTCTTTTTCTACTAACCAGGCTTTCAACAAGCACTGCACAGAGAGAGAAACAAAGATGCTGCATGAATTATCTACACAGTTCTCCTAGTCTCTGTTAATCATCACTACCATCATGATACGTTCATTGCAACATTTACTTTTGAATCACATCAGTGTTTTGCTCCATTCATTGTCTCTAGTGACACTAAAAAGCTGCCTTCTGTTTCTCAACAAAAAGGAGAAAAATACTACTTACAAGTGAACTTTTGTGACATGGAATGTGGCCTACATCCTCCATTACTAGAAGTTCACAGACTAATATGCCAAATCAATCATAGCCATAACCAGAAGTCTCTGTAAACTCAGTTTCATAATGTGCATGAATAACAGCATAATGAAGGTTCATATTTGTGCATCTGAGATCTAGGTAGATTTTTCCATGTCGATTTTAATATTATAACCACACTTTTCCCACACTTCACATTTTGCTGGCAATATTTAGTTCTTCGCAAGCTGATGATCCCCTCTTCCATACTCATAGTCCCATGGCTGTCCAGTGCTTTCTTACCCAACCACCACCAATTGCCAAAGTTTACCATTAAAAAATCTATACAAAAAGAAACTCTCACCTTCCCAACTACTTAGGTTGGGAAGGGCCATGGCTCAGTGGTAAAGCATATAGCTTGGCCTGCGGAAGATCACAGGTTTAACCTCTGGCAGCCTCAGTTAAAGGGATCAGTTGGATAGGTAATTTGAAAGACCTCTTCCTAGAAGAAACCTCTTAACAGCTGATGCCAGTCTGAGTAGACAGTACTGACTTTGATGGTCCAAGGATCTCATTCAGAATAAGGCAGCCGCAAGTGTCATGTAGACCCTAAGATTTCCAAAGCCTTTTTTGGTATAGAAAGGCCCTTTAGAGGGATCAACTATTTCCTTGGTCTCTCTGTACCAAAGCCAAATAGTAGTGGTAATCCTGGTGATAGCTACAAACAGGTGAAGAAGTGAACTAGGGCTTATTATCATCATCATCATCATCAACAACAACAGCAGCAGCAGCAGCAACAACAACAACAACAACAACAACACTTCTGAATCGTCCCATCCCTGAGTACACAGGGCCCTGGGCGATTTACAATAAATTAACATACAAAATACAATTTAAAATCAGCAATCAATTTGTCCCATATTTCACAGCCTTCAGATGGTGTCTATAATTTAATCTAAAACCTGCTCTGGCCTTCCATCTCGTGGGCAGATTAAGGAGGCGGCCAAAGTGGGCAAGATGGAAAATAGAAAAGAAAAGAGGAGGGGTGCCAGCTATGATAGAAACTGTCACTGTCCTCAACCAAAAGTCTAGTGGAACATCTCTGCCTTGGAGGCCTTACAGGCCATGTGGAATTGCATTAAGTCCCACAGGGCCCTGATGGAATTTGGCAGAGAGTTCCATGAGGTTGGAGCCAGGGCCTTCACTCTGGTCGAGGATAGCTGGATCACCAGCAGATTACTCACAGCAGAGCATAATGCTCTCCCAGGGACATACCCAGGGCCGGCTCACCTGCTAGGTGAACTAGGAATTCACCTAGAGCGCGCCAGCCCTTAGGGGCGCCAAACAGGACCCCCGCCAAAGCCCCCCAGCCCCCACCAAAAGCCTGCATCATGATCTCCGGCCAGATGGACAGGCAATGATCACGGGGCGCGCCCAGCCTGGGCCGCCCCCCCCCCCCCCCCGCCCCGGGGCGCCCCCTCCGCCTCGCCGCTGGTAGGGCACTTCACTTTCTTGCTCTTGCCGGCGCCGCTTCCTCCTCCTGCTGCTGCCCAGAAGCTGCAGCCCCTCGCTTGCCCCCGGCCTGGATCTGGCTTCACACCGGGCGCAGTGCCTCTGGGCAGAGTGTGACATCTTCAGCCTCGGAGAGCCATCCCGGCCTGCCTGCGCCCAAAGAAAGCCCTCTCCCTGGAACGTGTCGTTTGGCAGCTGCCGAGGAAGCACCAGGTGGGGCGGGGAGCCGAGCAGGCAGGAGGGGCTCAGGGGAGGGGAGGGGGGCAAGTTCAAGCCTCTCGCTTGGCTAGCCTGTGTGCGTTGGCCCAGCATTGGTGTTTGCCTGGCCCGCAGGAGCCCAGGAGCCCCGCAAGCCCCAGAGTACCAACGTGAACCCCTCGAGCCCCTCCAGGACGATAAGGCAGTGGCTCCCTGCGTTTCTTTGCATGTGTCTCTTTGCAAGCAGAAAGGTGGTGCTGGGGGCGCTTCCCGGACCCCTCCGCTGGGAAAGAAGATCCGTGGAAACCAGTGGAGGGGACCAGCACCTGGCCAATCCGCTCCCAGCCGGCTGGGCTGCGCACTCCCTCCCTCCTCGCCCCAAGCTCGGCTGCCTCGAAGTTGCGCCTGGAGCAGAAAGCGAAAGCGCAGAAAGTAGTGGGGGGAGGGGGGCTCCCCTGAGAGGGCTGAGTGAAGATGCAGCTGGACAGCAACAGTGAGTAGCGGTGCTTCTGGTGACCCCCCCCCCTCTGGACATCTGACGGCTCGGCTTTCTTTTCTTTCCTGGGCATGGGACTGGGCCTTTCTGCACGGGCGGCTCTCTCAAACCGTGGCTCCGAACCGGGACCCAAGTGTCCAGCTTCCTGCAGGGTGAAGGAAATCACGCTTGTCTCTGACCACATCCGGGGTGGGGGTGGGCTTTTCCTGCAGTACTGATCCGGGGAGAGTGCGCCGACTTGGCCCAGGACTCCCCTCCCCACCTCTCCAAAGAGGGAGAGAAGTTGGACTTCCTTCTCTCCAGGCCCCGCCTGGAGGTTGGCAACCCCGTAATTGGGCACACACGGGGTGGGGCACCAGAAGGTAGCCCTGCCTAGGGCGCAAAAAAACCTCAGGCCAGCCCTGGACATACCAGAGGAGACGGTCCCAAAGATATGCTGGTCCCAGATTGCTCAAGGCCTTAAAGGTCAATACCAACACCTTGAATCTGACTCAGTACTCCACTGGAAGCCAGTGTAGCTGGCGCAGCACAGGTTGTATATGTGCTGTCCGTGGTGTTCCCGTCAGGACTCACGCCGCCGCATTCTGGATTGGCTGGAGTTTCCGGATCAGTCTCAAGGGAAGGCCAGCATAGAGTGAGTTACAGTAGTCTAATCTGGAGGTGACTGTCACATGGATTGCTGTGGCAAGGTCTAGGTCAGGGTGCGACAGGAAAGGGGCTAATTGCCATGCTTTGCGAAGATGGGAAAATGCCAGTCTGGCAATATTCGTGATCCAGGACCATGTCCAAACTGTGGCACCCCATCAAGGGTGGGAAGTCTATGCCCCAGCCCCTCCCCCCCAGCCACAGAACCTCTGTCTTCATTGGATTCAGCCTCAGCCTGCTTTGTTTTAACCATTCCACCATAGCCTCCAGACCCTCAGCCAGATTATGCGGGGAAATATCTGGGTGGCCGACCAGTAGCAGATATAGCTGGGCATCACCAGTGTACTGATGGCACCCCAGCACGAAACTCCGCACCAGTCAGTCAAGGGGGCACATACAGATGTTAAATAACATTGGGGAGAGGACAGCTCCCTGAGGAACCCTACATGTTAAGGGGTACCTAGTTGACATCCTCTCTCCCAGTGCCACCCTCTGTCCCTGATCTTGAAGAAAGGAGGAAAGCCACTTTAAGACTACCTCCCGAACTCCTGTCAGTGAGGCGGTGAGTCAAAAGATCATAATCAACTGTGTCAAATGCTGCTGTAAAATTGGTTTTCTTGGTAAGATTAAGCAATAACAGCAACGGTGACCTGCCTCGATCCAGCTATCTGCGGAGATAGTCTGTCAGGGTGACCAACACCATCTCCGTCCCGTGGCCAGGGTAGATGCCAGACTGGAAAGGATCCAATGCCAATGTGTCATCCAGAAAACTCTGGAGCTGCTCTGCTACCACTCTCTCAATCACCTTACCCAGAAATGATAGATTCTAAACTGGGCGGTAATTGGCTGGATCCATAGGGTCCAAAGATGGCTTTTTCAAGAGCGGTAGTACCATCGCCTCTTTCAGACCCTCTGGATAGACCCCTGACTCCAGGGACAGATTTACAATGTCCATCAGTGGGCCCTGTATCATCTCACCACCAGCGTTTACCAGCCATGAGGGACACGGATCCAAGAGGCAAGTGGTTGGCCTAACAGCGCCCAGGATCCTGTCAACCTCGGCAGAGGAGAGCAGGCTGAAGTTGTCGAAGACTGAATCAGAAGGCAGCCAAGAGGCCTCCAGTTCACATATTGTATCAACATTAGCAGATAGGTCACAGCGGGGCAACAAGATTTTGTCCGCAAAAAAGCTCGCAAATGCCTCACAGCTAATGGCCAAACCATTAATCCTTTGGTTCCTATCTGAGAGGGTTGTCAAGGATCTAATTACTTTAATTGTGCCAGGCGTGAGCTTGCAGACGCGATGGAGGCTGAATAGAATTCCCTCTTTGGAGCCTTCACCACCACCTCATAGGCTTTCATAAGCGTCCTATAGGATATTCTTGAAGTTTTGTCGCGAGTATGCCATCATACTCACTCAAGTCGTCTTTTGAACAATCATGATTATTTCCCAGTCAGCCATATTCTGTACTGAATTACCTGAAGTATGCTGACTTCCTGAACATTCCATTTCCAAAGCTGTCATGCCTTGTGCACTACCCCTTAGGTTGTTCAAGCATTTAACTGACAATTTAGAAATCTTCATCAGCTGAGTAATTCATAAGAACATAAGAGAAGCCAATGCTGGATCAGGCCAATGGCCCATCTAGTCCAACACTCTGTATCACACAGTGGCCAGAAATACCAGGTGCCATCAGGAGGTCCAGCAGTGGGGCCAGGACACTAGAAGCCCTCCCACTGTTGCCCCCCCCCCCAAGCACCAAGAACACAGAGCATCACTTGCCCCAGACTGAGAGTTCCTATCTATACCTTGTGGCTAATAGCCACTGATGGACTTCTGCTCCATATGCTTATCTAATTCCCTCTTGAAGCTGGCCATGCTTGTAGCCACCACCACCTCCTGTGGCAGTGAATCCCATGTGTTAACCACTCTTTTCACCCATTGTTCCCCAATAATAAAGTTAAATCTATGTAAGTTTAATGAGCAAAATTTTTGCCAGTCTTTATTTGCAAGTCCTTACAAATATCATGACAGGTAAACTATAGGCACAATCTAGAAAAAAATCATGGACCCATGAAGCTGCCTTATATTGAATGGACCATTGGTCTATACTGAATAGACCATTGTCTACTCATACTGACAGTGGATCTCCAGGGTAACAGGCAGAGTTCTCGTATCACCTACTATCTACTTCTTCTAAACTGGATATGCTAGGGAATGAACCTAGGCATTTCTGTATGCTAAACAGATCCTCTCCCACTGAGCCACAGCCCCTCATAAACATCCCTCAGGTCCCACTGTAATCAGGCATTAAATTCCCTGGATTTCAAGATATAAATTTATTTTTGACAAAAAGCGGCTTTGGGCAAGTCATTCTCCCTCAGTTTGACATACCTCACAGGATTGTTATTTTATTTTACTTTATTTACAAGGGCCAACAAGGTGCCTAACTATTTAAAACATATTATGATATAGTAACATTTTAAACCCATTAAAATCAACCTCCCCAAACACATATAATTAAAACAATCCAAAACAGAGTTAAAATACATACAACATACACACAGTGTTAAAATACACACAAGTAAAAAGACATACAAAACATAAAAGCATTGATTAGGAAGGACGGATCACTGACAGAATGCCAAACAAAACAAAAAAGTCATCACCAACTGGCAGAACACGGCAACAGAAGGGGACAGACAGATCTCCCTTCATTATGAGACTAAAGGGCTGCTTTGGGAAAGGGCAGGACACAAATATAATGAATAGAAGCTTGGTATATAGAAAAGCCAAATCCCAGTCAATGTTCCCTCTAAGCTGAGTTAGTGTGAGTTACCTCACAGTTTTTTCGCCTCTGGCTCGCACATTTTTGTCTTAGCTCAGGAAGGATGGCTCCTGAGCAAACTAATTTATGCAGTAGCCAAATCGCTTTCTCACAACTTTAATGCCAGTAGCTCACAAAGTAGAATTTTTGCTCACAAGACTCCACAGCTTAGAGGGAGCATTGATCCCAGTGTTATATCACATACTGGCATGATAGACCCTAGAATAGGCTTTATATTAGGGGCAGCCTGTATTCTTAATGGCTAGTGCTACAGTCAATGGAAACACCATGTAGTGACTTTGAGCGCACCCATTTACTTTCTTCTAGGAGTGTGCATTTGCCGTAAACTGAGCCAAAAACACCCTGGAAAATACCTTATCAGTATGTTTCAGGTATTTCTTAAGCTGGTTACTGAATGGGGCTCAATTTCAACTATCCGAAATGGCCAAGCCCTAAATATCCTGGAAATATTTGGGATTTTCCAGGCTGCCAGATAGCCAAACATAAAGGGCATGTAAAAGTATCATGATCCCTTTAAATGCCTTCTCCAAGCTGTGCAATTCCGCGGCAAGTTCACCAGAAGGCATTTAAAGGGCTCGCAGTCCTGAGTGAACTTGCTGCTTGGAGAAGGCATTTAAAGGGACCATAAGCCCTTTAACTGACTTCGGAGTTCAGCCGCAGCTTATAAAAAGCATTTACAGCAAGCACTTTCCCTTTAAATGACTCCCCCCCATGGAAACCATGGAGGATGGGGGCACCTTCTTCAGGGGCCCATAGAATTGGATCCACTACTCCAATCTTTTGTAAACTTGGGGGATTTTCTGAGGAAAGGCACCAGCAGCTATGCTGCAAATTTGGTGCCTATACCCCCCACCCCAGAGCCTCAGATATCTCCAATTCAATTCTCCATCACAGCCTATGGGGATCACTGGTCCCCATAGGGTATAATGGCGCCGAAAAAAAATCAGCTTTCCCAAATACTGAATCCGAATACCATACCAGTACTGGGATTTGGGAATATTGGGAAATACCGTTATTTTTCAGGTTCAACATACCCAAACCCGAAAAATACCGATTTTTTTTTTTGCACACCCCTACTTTCTTCCATGTGATTAAATAATTACCATTGACCTATTAGGAAAATATAAATCAGCACCTTGGTGTGGTTAAAAAAAAAGGTCTTCCCTCCAGCCCTAACACTGGGTAGCCCAGCCCTCCTGACAGGCTCCTCCCAGGAATCAGTGCAATATAAATACTTCCCTCAAGATTATGATTTACTTCTGTGAAGGATTATGTCCATTAAGGTTATTTTGTTGTATTCCATTATCCTAGCCTGTTAATCTTAAACATAGTTATTCATATGATTAATGAACTGCACTTAATATCGTCAGGGCAGCGTTTGTAGACTATTTCCAGTATGTACCGTTGGTTAATGCAATCCTTTGAATATACTGTTGCTTGTATACTATTACTTTACTATGATTGATGATGTTCAGCTCCTCAGTCGTCTTAAAAACACAAAAGAATTGTATTTTTGAAACATATTTGATGCTATCTATATGTAATACTGACTTATACTCAAAGAAAGCAGCAGGCGAATTGCTTATCTCTGTCTCACCCATCATGCAGATAACAAGACTCTGGCAGTAAACAAGACAGAAAGGCTTATTCACTAATCTTGTAGCACTCTGAACTTATAAATAATTCTAAACACATTGTAATTATTGATCACCACCAGGAGAGATTCATAGCTAGATACCAGAAAAATCACTTATAAATTCAAGACAATGAAAAATTAATTCTTCATGTGACAGTGATTTTTTTTCCTTAATAAAAAAAAGGACAGAGGCAGCAAATATTTCTAAGCAATCCCACAAAGACTGTTACACTATGAAAATCCCTGGAGGTATTGCTGAGATCATGGGCAGCTAGTAGAGTGGAACAGAGAAGATCCACAACACTTGTATGAACACATTGCTGGATCCAACACAAAGTTTGCCTTCTTTGACCCACCAGTCACATGATTCTTCTTCACATATGAGTTCCATGTAACAGAAGCAACTGCTATATGACTCTTAGGAAGGAAAAAAAAATCACTTCCTCACCAAGATTCCTTGAGAATGCAGCAACAGAAATTTAATAGAAGCCTCATAAACAGACTTATTAAAGCAAAACAGTTATTTCTAAATCCCTCTTTATGTAATGCCAATTTAAAATCGGCCCTATTAGGAGAACATTCCTATACAGAGTTAAAGGTAAAGGTTTCCCTTTCTCGAAAGCTAGTCGAATCCGACTCTAGGGGGTGGTGCTCATCTCCATTTCCAAGCCGAAGAGCCAGCGCTGTCTGAAGACATTTCCATAGTCATGTGGCTGGCATGACTAAACGCCAAGATGCATGGAACGCTGTTACCTTCCCACCAAAGTGGTACCTATTTATCTACTTGCAATTTCTTGCTTTCGAACTGCTAGGTTGGCAGGAGCTATACAGAGTTATTTCAGCCGAAACCCACTGAAATCAATGGACTTAGTCTGAAGAAGCTCTGCTTAGGATCACACTAGAAAACAAATAAAGAAGAAGAAGAAGAGGAGATTGGATTTATATGCCGCCCTTCACTACCCAAAGGTGTCTCAGAGTGGCTTACAAACTCCTTTCCCTGCCCCTCCTCACAACAGACACCCTGTGAGGTAGGTGGGGCTGAGAGAGCTCTGACAGAAACTGCTCTTTTTTCAAGAACAGCTCTTATCAGAGCTAGGCATGACTAAACGCCAAGATGCATGGAACGCTGTTACCTTCCCACCAAAGTGGTACCTATTTATCTACTTGCAATTTCTTGCTTTCGAACTGCTAGGTTGGCAGGAGCTATACAGAGTTATTTCAGCCGAAACCCACTGAAATCAATGGACTTAGTCTGAAGAAGCTCTGCTTAGGATCACACTATAAAACAAATAAAGAAGAAGAAGAAGAAGAGGAGGAGGAGGAGATTGGATTTATACATCGCCCTTCACTACCCAAAGGTGTTTCAGAGTGGCTTACAAACTCCTTTCCCTTCCCCTTCCCACAACAGACACCCTGTGAGGTAGGTGGGGCTGAGAGAGCTCTGACAGAAATGGCTCTTTTTTCAAGAACAGCTCTTATCAGAGCTATGGCTTCCCCAAGGCCATCCAGCCAGGTGCAAGTGGAGGAGTGGGGAATCAAACCCGGTTCTCTCAGATTAGAGTCTATGCACTTAACCACTACACCAAACTGGCTCCTAAATAAGGTCATAGCCTCAGAAATTAATTCCCAGCAATACAGGCCTAGCTATATTCTTTTTGTCAAAGAATTCCAGGAAGTTTAAGAAGCTCTTTCTCCAACTTTTTTCTTGTATTTCTTGCTTAATGTAAATATTGTGTATTTGGATAAAATATCCCAAAGACAGACTCTTTGAATTTTAGGAGAACAGCCAGGTATAATTATAAATCTAATTATACAAGCTATAAATCAAATCAATAAATCTAACCTGTTCTTCCAAGAGTCCCTGCCACAAGATATTAATCTCTTGAAGTTTGAGCCATCGCTCCTCAGTCCAACGACAAACTGCTGTCCAGCGCTCACCAAGTTTCTGAAAATAACAAAACAGACCATGTTTTTCCCCCTTGGAAACAGATGAAAAACTAAAATAAACAGAAGAATAATGATTTCAGAGTTGTATTTATCTTTTTAAAATTTGTTTAGTTTTTTATCTCCGGTGAAGTTTCCAAAATATTATACCGTATTTATTCGAAACGAAGATGACCCTGAATGAAACCTTCACTATACCACCCTAGAAAGTTACACTTTTCTTACTATTTGACATAACAGTAACTTGTATGCAAATATGAGACAACTCCCTCTTTTTCTGATGGCAAAAAACTAGTCTTATCTAGAAGTAAATACAGTCTGTTGAATTTAACTGAAAACATGTTGAAGATAGTAGTAACAGAACACATGCACACAGAGACTAGCGCCTATGAAGTAGATATTAACTGGTGGACTGGATAGTATGGGAGGAGACAGTACTTAATGTACCCTGGTCCAATTCCTTTAGGGTGTTAACAGTAAGAACCAGCACTCAGAATTGTGCCAGGAAACAGATGGGTAACCAGTACAGATCTCTCCATGCAGGAAGGATATGACCCAACCAACCAGTTTTTGACAATAGCCTGGCTACCTCATTTACAAAGTTTCCAGACCACTGTCAAAGGCATTTCCAAATAGAGCGCATTACTGTAATCTAAACTGGATGTGATCAGAAGATGGATCTTTGGCCAGATCATGCTTTTTGGGGATCTAATAAAAAGATGCCAATAAAAAGTGATACGTGCACTGGAAAAGACCTGAGCCTCCAGCCACAGGCCGAGATCCAGTAGCATCCCAAAGCTATGCATCTGTTTTTTCAAGTGGAGTGCAACCCCTTCCAGGACAGGCGGACTCTGCGGCTTCTCCGTTGGCCAACAGCAGTACCCTCAAGAATACTGAACTTCAGTTTATGGACCGAATTATTCAGGTTATCCTTTGTTCTATGAAGAACTGCTCTATAAAAACTGCACAGTATTGAGAAACAGTGAGGGATTACAGGCAGACTCTGAGGTCCCTAAGGAAGTTAAAGCAGGCTATCAAGTTGAGAACTTTAGTGTTCTAGTCACAGTATAGTATTCACGCATATTCAACAACATCAACACCAGTATCAACCACACTACCACATCAGAAGGAATATAAAATCCCACTCACCTGCAGTTGCTCCTCCAGTAGAGCCGTGGCACTCTCACCACTGTTTTCGTCTACAATGACCACCATGTGGGTCAATGAGTTTACTTTAACCTGCTCTGCTTCGAGATCATTTTGTAGACTCTGAAAGTAATGGAATCAATAGTTACAAGGTCCAGAAGTGAACATTTTATTTCATTTGATTCTGGCCAGGTGTATGAGAAAATAAGGGCTTGGTTCCAGCAGAGATTTCCACAGAATAAAAGAGATTTCCCTGCGTGGGGGAGGGGGCGGTGTGTGTGTGTGTGTGTGTGTGTGTGTGTGTGTCTCCCCCCTGTAGGATGTCAAGGCAAGTACAGCCCAAAACTGCTGCTCCTGAGTAAAATGAGACCCTGAGGAACAACACTGGAAGAAAGCTGAAAGTCTCCAGTGGGAGAGGTGAAGTCAGCAAAAATCACATGAATCACCTTCCATTAAGAAAGCCCCATACTGGATCCAAGCCATTATTCAAAAGTTATTTGGTCACCAATGCTCTACATGCCCAATCTTCTGCTTCTGGACTTGCAGCTAGGGGGCACCTGCTTATGTGATTATTATCTTTGCAAGCATTTGATTATGGATAAACAAATGGAATGTCAAATTCATTTGTTTTACTTAATCATGTTATAAGCAATCTGCAATTTGACTTTATTCACAATATAGAAGAAAAGACGACTGAAAACTGCAGGGCAATTGAAATAAAGACCTCCTGAAAGCTGATAGTTTACGCAATAGTGACAAGCCTTACCGTTTTTTTTGTTTTTGTTTATTTATTTATTTTTGGATTTATAACCCGCCCTCCCCAAAGCGGCTCAGGGCGGCTAACAGATGAGCCACGTATGCCAAGATTAATACAATTAAAAACAGAATAAAACAATCAGTTATACAATACAGTAAAGTACAGGTGCTCCGGTTGTCACAAAAGTCCTTAATAACAAGATGGGGTTCTTGTAAAGATGCTCCCAGAACAACAAAGTGAGTTCCAGACAACACTGCCATCCATTCATCCCAGGGCCATCTCGCTCCCCGATGTTACCCACTCCAATTGGTGGTAGTGGTGGCGTGATGGGACAGTGGTGGTGACAGCTCCTACTCAAAAGCCTGGTGGAAGAGCTCCGTCTTACAGGCCCTGCAGAACTGCGACAGGTCCAGCAGAGCCTGGATCTCCTCCGGGAGCTCGTTCCACCAGGTAGGAGCCGCCACCGAAAAGGCCCTGGCCCTGGTTGCAGCAAGTTGGTATCTTTGGGGCCTGGAACTACCAGGAGATGTTGAGTCCCTGACCATAGTGCCCTTGGGGGAACATATGGGGAAAGGCGGTCCCTCAGGTATACCGGACCCTGGCCATATAGGGCTTTAAAGGTAAGAACCAGCACTTTGAAGCGAACGCGGAACGCTATTGGCAGCCAGTGCAGCACTTTCAGCACAGGCCTGATATGGTCCCGTCTAGAGAGACCCATCAACAGCCTGGCCGCAGCATTCTGCACTAGCTGCAGCTTCCGGATTTGCGACAAAGGCAGCCCCATGTAGAGAGTGTTACAGTAGTCTAACCTCGAGGTGACCGTTGCATGGATCACTGTGGCCAGGTCATCGCGGTCGAAGAAGAGAACCAACTGCCGAGCCAGCCGAAGATGGTAAAAGGCCAACTTGGCAGTGGCTGCCACCTGAGCCCCCATCGTTGAAGAGGAGTCCAGGAGCACACCCAAACTCCTAACTGCCGACGCTGGCACCAAAAGCACCCCATTGAAGGTCGGGAGCCCCAACCGCGAACCGACCCAACTCAGGCCCAGGTCTTCTGTCTTTGCCGGGTTTAGTTTCAGCCGACTCGGTCTGAGCCAACCAGGCTCAGCTTGCAATGCCTGGTGCTGGTCATCTGGGCCGGAGTTCGACTGGCCGCCCAACATCAGATAGAGCTGGGTGTCAACTGCATATTTGTGACACCCAAGGCCACAACTCTGGGCAATCTGGACAAGGGGGTGCATGTGGATATTAAACAACATCGGAGACAGCACTGCCCCCTGAGGCACCCCACAATCAAGAGAATGCCTCTGGGACCGCTGATCCCCTATCGCCATCCTTTGTCCCCGACCTTGGAGAAAAGAGGCAAACCATTGAAGGGCAAGCCCCTGAATCCCCATGTCGGCGAGACGGTGGGCCAGCAACTGGTGGTTGACCATGTCAAATGCGCTAACAGATCTAACAGCAACAGTGCCGCCACACCACTTCGATTGAGATGCTTTCGGAGGTCATCAGTCAGGGCGACCAGCACCGTCTCCATCCCATGACCTGGGCAGAAGCTGGACTGGAAAGGATCTAGGACAGAAACATCATCCAGAAAGCCCTATAGCTGTAACACCACTGCCCTCTCAATAAGTTTGCCCAAATAGGGCAAATTGGACACTAGCCGATAGTTAGCCAATTCGGCCGGGTCCAGAGATGGTTTTTCAAGAGAGGGCGGACCAACACTTCCTTGAGTGCGCCAGGGAACCGTCCCTCCAAGAGGGACTTGTTGATAATCTCCCTCAGGGAACCTCGAAACCCCTCATGGCTCGCTTTAATGAGCCAGAAGGGGCACGGATCAAGGTCGCACGTGGTTGGACATACTGATACAAGCAATCTGTCAACTTCCTCCAGGCTGAGTAGGCTAAAACACTCTAAACCCGGAACCAAAAATGTGCAAGGGGCCTCAAGTTCGTCCATTGTTTCAATTGTGGCGGGAAGGTCATGGCGGAGCGCCAAGACTTTATCTGCGAAATAGCTTGCAAATGCCTCACAGCCAATATCCAATTCCCTAATATTTTGCCTGCCCTGAGGCAGAGCTGTCAAAGACCAAATCATACTAAACAATTGGGCCAGGCGTGAGCTTGCAGATGCAATCCTGGCTGCATAGAAATCTCTCTTAGTGGCCTTGACTGCTATCTCATAGGATCTCATAAATGTCCTATAAGCTGCTCGTGACGCCTCATCACGAGCACGACGCCACCGTCTCTCTAGCTACAAGCGCGACACCGCCATTTCAATTCTAGCTTCAGATGCCGCAGCTCCTGGGTATACCAGGGCGCCCGCCAAGAACAAGTGTGAAGAGGGCGCCTGGGAGTGATCTCGTCGATGGCTGTGGAGAGCCGACCATGCCAGTCCTCCACCAGCTCATCCAACGAGCCGCCAGGGGGCCTCGGATCCCGCAGGGCCATCTGGAGCCACATAGGGTCCATCTGGCTCCGCATGCGAGCAAAAATCTGCTCGCCGCCTAAACAGGGTCGGGGTCGAGCATTCAGACGGGCCTTCAGGGCATGGTGGTCCAACCATGGCACTGCCTCTGCAGTGATCCAATCCACCTTCCGGTCCACTTTTTATTCTTCTCTGGTTACTGACTGGAGCAGAGACAAGAAATCATGGAAGACTTTTGCAACCACAACCACACTCATTGCTCTCAAGGAAATCAGGAAACTACTTCTATGTTCAAATACTGTTCCTGACATTAATTTAACATTAATCACAGATGGTCAATGCCTATTAATGACTTCTTTATATTCTGAAGGGATGTTCAAGAAAACTTGTCTAGAATCATAATCACTACTGAGCCTGGAGCACAGTCGTGACTTTTTAAAGGAAAACTAACTGTTCCTAAACAGTGTTGCCCTTCGATCCCAAAACATATAGTAGGTCTGCTCATCACATAGAGAGACTCAAACCTTAACAAAAAAGAGGGAAGTTTCCACAGTAACAACTCCACTAGAGAGGCAACTAGAAAACTTGGGCCACTACAGAGTAAATTCTTTTCCTATTGTATTTACTAAAGCAAGGAACAAAATACTTTATGTTCATCCATCTGCTGCTGAAAGGACTCCAAATTGTCAGCTAAGCACTGAGATTCCATCTTATGAATGCGTTCTTCTGTAACAGTCAACCAGTCAGACAGCTGCCGCAGTTGTTTCTTCTGTAATTCCATCAATACATCATGAAGGCTGTTTGTTTATTTCAAAAACAAAGATGGACAAAATTATTACATCAGTACTCTTAAAAAGGGGTACTGCCATAAAGATAAAATATCTTAATAAAGGTAAATAAAATACTATGTTTAGATAACATTAAAGTCCGAGTTTCTTTGAACGCAACGATCAGTTACATACATGCACACAAAGCTATTTTGATTCTGTTGAACTGGAAAAAAAAATTTTTTAAATACCACAGTAAGTGTTCCTTTCAGGGGATATCAGGATGTATTTATACTTACCATCAAATCTGGAGGGGGGGGGACTTGAGGAATTTCACATTACCCTTTTTAACCTGTTTTGAAGCTGTTTTTGATTTGTCATGGAGTAAACCGGTATAGGGCTGCCATTTCACACATGGCTTTCCCCTTCCAGTAAGGAGCTGGATCTGAAGTGGTTTGCCATTTCAGACTGCACCACTTTTTCCCCAACATGTTTCGCCCACGCAGCTGATCTCCAGCCTTTTCTTTTTGAACGTTCGTTTTTATAGCGCTATAGCACTATAACAAAGCACTCCAGGCATTCCAATGGGGTTGTTATACTGTGGTTCCATTATAGTGTTATAGCGCTATAACGCTATAAAGCAAACTTTTTTTAAAAAAAAGCTGGAGATCGCCCGCACGGGCGAAAAATGGCGGGAAAAAGCGCATCGGAACCAGGAGAGGAAACTTTAGACTATTTGGAAGCGGTTGACAGGTAAAACGCTTCAGCCCCGTTTCCTAAATGGGACAGAAGCGTTTATGTCTGAAATTACAAATATATTCCGGGAGGGAACCGGTTCTGAAATGGTTCTGTCTGAAATGACAGACCAGAAACCATTTGGGAACTATTCCTCTTCCAGATTATATCGTCTGTCTGAAATTCCTCCTTGTTTCAGATAAAGTCTGTTAAGTGTAGTTTGGTGTAGTGGTTAAGTGTGCGGACTCTAATTTGGGAGAACCGGGTTTGATTCCCCACTCCTCCACTTGCACCTGCTGATGTGACCTTGGGTCAGTCACAAGCTCTGGCACAGCTGTCCTTGAAAAAGAGCAGTTTGTGTCAGAGTTCTCTCAGCCCCACCCACCTCACAGGGTGTCTGTTGTGGGGAGGGGAAGGGATGAGACTCCAAGTGAAGGGCGGGGTATAAATCCAATCTCTTCTTCTTCTTCTTCTTCTTCTTCTTCTTCTTCTTCTTCTTCTTCTTCTTCTTAATAACTTCGAAACTTTGTTTTATTTCTGCATTTTTCAGTACCACATAGCTTGGTTCAGTCTCCTAAGTCACCTGCCTTGCTACTGTGTAGGAATGGGTACAAACTGAATCACAAAGCAAAACGCACCATGACTTTCGCCCTCTTCATTGTTCGTGAACCAAAGTTTATCACGGGTCTACCATCCAAAGCTTCCACTAACTTAAAGCAGTTCATGGTGGTTCGTGGACAGAGCAGAAAGCAGGGGTTTAAAAGGACTCCAACTCCCTATGAATCCCTGCTTTTTGTTCCTGTGAAAGCCACAAAAACAGCTGAGCGGCAGGGAGTAACCTGCTCCCCACCATTCAGCTGTTTCACACTCAGTCCCTTTAAACTGATTTTTCATGCTTTCTGCAAACCTCATTTAAAGGGACTGTGGTCCCTTTCAATGGGGGTTGTGGGGCCATGAACCACAAACCAGTTCATTTCACAAACAAACCTCCTGGTTCAATTTGGTTCATGGTTCAGTTCATGCTTTGGCCACCAAACACAAACTGCCACAAACTGAATTTTTCAGGTTCATGTCCATCACTACCACTATGTACATTACTATTGTTATTAAGGCCCACTGTTGGTCTGGAGTATGTGTGCTAATCTATGAGTCAATATAAAGAAAATGCTAACTTTATTCTAAATCTAGACTGCTACCCTATGATTGTGTCACCAGTGTTCAGACACATTCCTACATTTTCTTCCAGTTTAACTACTCCTCACATCAGATTCCAGCCCAACAGATTTAAGAGGTTAGCATGCCACAGAATTGGTTGTAGCGTGTTTTGTGTGCATGTGTTTCTCTGCAACATATATAAATATAAATATATATATTTATACACACATACACATTGCAGAGAAAGATGGTGGAACAGCTTCTACATATATATATATATATAATTTAAAGACCCATATGTCTCACCTCAGACTCCTAAGAATACTTAACTACTTTTTTTTTGCCAAGGCAATTCAAATGGGCCTCAGAGAAGTGTAATTTAGTGCTGTGCCATATAATTCTGAAGTCCACTCAGCCCAGAGTGAAAAATAAACACCATACATGACATTACAGCTGGAAAAACTGGTTTAAATATCACTCACCGAGATTGCCGATCCATACTTTCAACCCTTAGAGCCTCCCATCGAGAGTTGAGCAAAGTCATTTGCTCTTGTATTTCACTTTCCTCCTCTTCTGACAGATTGCCTTGGGCTATCAACTGATTACCAGCCTGCAGAACACTACCCACACTGCTCTGATGCGCGGTCAACTCCATCATAAAACCCTAGGGGGGAAAAAATCAGATGAGCATACTTTGTGACTTTATACTTACATGACCTTAGATCTATGAATTTGCGAACATTTTATAAACAGTTGATGTTTAAACTAAAACACTGAAAAATAACCTATACGATCACCCACAAAAAAGTTCTAAAGTAGTTCCTCTCTTCCAGAGTTTACCAAAACACAAAGGCCAGAATCAAAAGAACAGTGCAATTAGATGGCTTGGTTTGTTGAATGACCACCCCAAATGCTGAAGGCAAACTACTTGTGAAGTTTTCAGAAATAGACTGTGATGTGGCAAGCAGTTTCACTACTCAAAGTCAAAAATCTTACTAGCTTTTTTACAGTAGCGCTCTGGATCCTTCCCAGTGTTTTAGCACTTTAAAAGACCATGGGCCAGGTTACGAGTCATGCCCACAACAAACACCAAGCAAAAGCTACATTAGCCATCCTTCAAAGCTACTGGCATAACCTCAAGATCAGTCTCATGTAATAGCCACAGAACGAAGAAAGACATCACCAAAAAGATACCCAGCAGAAAAAGGACTGTCAGGCAGGTATGACATCTGATCACATTATTTAGAAATAATACTTTTTTTGGCTTTTGGATATTACTGGGAAAGCTATACAAAGTTATTTTATTTGTTTATAGTCTACTTTTTTCACTAAGACTCAAGGAGGATTACACAGTACAAATCAATACAAACTTGGCATCCACTAAGCAATGTAATAGGATTAGGACGGCATGAAGCTAAAATAAAGCATAAGTATTAACATGATATGTTATGCAGAAATTATATAACAGGATAATGCATACAGGAACAGATAGTATGCACTATACACAGTAGTATAGTCCCTTTAAAGCATGTTCCATTCTGTTATAACGCTATTACCTTTGTAAAAATGCCCTCCTGAATAATTCAGTTTTGCATAGCTGTTGGAATGGCAAGAGAGTGGAAGCCTTAAATAGATTGTTTTAGAAGGTATTTATTTTAAAGAAATAAGATACATACGTTTTGAGAACATGTCATTTTGTGGGTGTATAAACTTTGTCCTTAATGTGGCTCAGTTTCCGAGTTCAAGGGTAAATGTGAATATATCTCTCTCTCTCTCTCTCTCTCTCTCTCTCTCTCTCTCTGTGTGTGTTTATAATCTTAAACCCATGACAGAGGTACATAAATGAAAACAGATGCATCCCTGAAAATGACCCAAGTATGCAGAAGCCCACTCTACAACAATTTGACAAGGTATGATGTCACCACGTCTATATACTATTAGCGACATGTGGCCCCTACCTGCAGATACCTAAATCTGAAGACTGGGACCACATGTACAATAAACAGATTTTTCAGCAAATTTGGGGACTCCCTGGGTTTACAAAAAAATCTGAAATGTTCAAAGAAATACACAGGGGGGAGAGTTAATTTCCCCAAAAGAAAAATACCGTTCTATGGCTGCGGTCACACGGAACAGAAGCCACACAAGTGAGATGGAAAACAGGCGGAGTTTCCGGGCGCGATCTCACCAGCACATCTGGGAAGCGTAGCACTCCCATGGCACAACCGAGGCTTCCAGCCGAAACTGCGTGGCAAAAAACTAGTACCTTGGAGGTACTAGTTTCCGGAAACTGCGGGGCAAGGGCGGGCGTACATTCCCAAGAAGGCTGCAAGAATTTTTCTGAAGCCCTTAGAAGCCCACTATATATGGTTTGTGGGCTATCTAAAGCTATCAAAAGTACATGTACAAACCCTGCTTAACAGCTCCCACCGCCCCTCCCCAGAAACCTACTTCATGCATAGCAAACTGCTCCTTGACTTCCTCAACATCATCGGATATGTCTTCCTGCTCTTGGAATGTATCTTCAGCAGACAGCAACCAGGTAAGAACATCTTCCAGAGCTACTTGGTAGCTATCCAAGTCCATGTCCACTTCTGTCACTGTACTGGGTGTTTCAGCTCTTGAGTCTCCATAGTCATCAGATACTACACTCTAAAATGCAGAAAAAACAAATTGGCAACTATGACACATAGCAATAATTCCTATACCTCATTTATTGATTTAAAATTGTTTGCTGCCTTTCTACCCAATAGGACAGGGGTATCGGACTCGTTTGTTATGCGGGCTGGAACTGACATAAATGAGTCCTTGATGGGCCGGGCCATGCGTGCCATAAAATGTAATAGTAGTAGCGGAGATAAAAAATGTATAAAGAACACCAACAAACAAAAAAATTTTAAAACTCAAAATAAAACATTCTTAAAACATTAGCCCTTTCACAATATTTTGTTTCTGATAACCGTCTCTGATAACTGACACCTCTTGCTCTGAATTATTGCATCAAAATCAGGAGACAATGTGCTGTAGCAATCTTGAGTATGCTGTTCAGGTGTGTATCTGTAAGTTGCAAACCTACTTTCAATTTACTGACATTCATTACAGAAATCTCATGGTCAATGTTCTGAGCCTAAGACCCAAGGAAAAACATGAGATGACTAGGCATTGCGAGCCTTTGTACATAAATTGCTTTGTGTACTGGTCAAGAACATGTGAAGGCACCATGACCCAGATTGAGGGCTATGAGTTTGTCTACAAAACTATAGTCTTCCCCAGAGAAATAACTACAACTCCTCTGAGACAGTGCAAGAATAGAGAGACAGCAATGTATAGTGGTCAGTATGAGCCTACTATCTGGGAAGTCTAAGTTCAAAATCCCCAGTCTATAAAGGAAATGTATTGGGTGAACTTGGTCTGGACACACATTCTCAACCTAATCCACCTCACTGGCTTGTTGTTATTCCTCATTTAAATAGTTCACATTGCTTTCCTACTGAGAAAGACTGGCTCATGAGAGCTTGAATACAGCAAAAAAGAGGAGGAGAACCCAGCTGCACCCAGGAGAGCCCTGGCATAATGAGCCCAACACACACACACACACACACACACACACACAC